ATCTGCCCCACGACCTAAGAGGGCATTTTTAAAATAATGGATGTGTAAACACTGAGCAGACCTGAAGCAAAGTGGAATGGAATTATTTCCGGGAAGCAGTCTGATGTCAAACAAATAACACAGACACTGCAGTTAGGAAATCTTATCCAATTTAGATTCCTAATAGCCAGGTATAAGAACAAGAACTAGCAATAAATAATAATAATAATAATAAATCATTAGCCCACCTTTGTAGTCAGATGAGTACAGACTCTACTTAATAATGAGAGCAATGTTCCAAGACAAAGTTAAATTGCCAATATGCCCCCTACCTGCCCCCTTCCCCCAAAAAAGAGAGAAAAATCAAAAGAAAATAACTAAGGCAGCTTCAAAGTTAAATGAGAAAAAAAGAACATGATAATATTGCTTAGCATTAAGGAAAAAAAAAGACACACAGCTAGAAACTTTAGAAAAACCACTTCAGAAATGAAAATTGGCCACATTTTGCAAGGCATCCAAATGATCAGCATATCTCACTAAGACATTCTCTAAAGTGTGAGGTTAGGATGAGCATCCACCCAGCCAACCAGGACGCCAGGTTTGTGAATACATCAATACTGCACACTCATGGTGTCGCATCTGCTTTCCACAATAGGCTCCCAGCAGCTTAATTTAGACTCAGGGAGTCTACATTTATCAGTTTTTTAAGATTTCAATTCTGATGTGTCCAGGGATAGCATAAGTAAAGCAAACTTTCAAAATCAAAGTAACATGCATCCAAATAACAGGTACTTTATCTGATAGCTCTGTTAAAATATTTATGTGGCAGGAATTTCAAAACAAGGCTGAGTAATATATTAGGTGCATATTTGTGGAAAATATTTCATTTTTGCTTATTATGTTTTTCTGAGAAGAAATGAATCAGTAAGCCATATCTGAGGAAAGTTATTAATAATCCATCTGTTTATGTTTAAATATAAAAGATATATGATTCGAAAAATAAAGCTATTAATGGTAGTGTCATAAAGGCTACCTATGAGAGACAGTTAAGTTTAGCCTAACATCCGCTCATCAGAAGGACCAGAGGGACTTGGTGGAGAGTCAGGGCAGTCTTGAGATCTCTCAGACACAGAGATACACACTTTCCTGCCCACCATTGAACTGGATCCACTACCTGTGTGTTTCTGATGATTTCTGCCCCTCTATCAAAAGTCTTCTGGGGCATTCTGTCTTTTTTCCTCCCGCTTTCTACTTGACTCACAACTCCATCTTTCCTAGGATTTTGGCTTCACAGGAACCCACAAGACCCTGCCTCACCTCCTGTAGCCTTCCAACCTTCAACTTCAGCTTCCAGGTCAGCGACTGTGATTGACAGCTCATATTCCCAGGACAGATGATTTGGCTTCTTCTCATCTCATGTGGATTTATCACAGATTTCTGGCTCAGCTTTGGGTCAGATGCCACTTTTGGTCTAAACTTCTGACAATGGGAAAGTCACAAGGTTTTCACAATAGGGAATTTAGATGAGGGACCTTCACTTATTATACAATGAGATCCCTCCGTGACTATGAAAATATAAGAAAGATAATAAATATCTTAAGCATTCTATGCCCTCCTCGTGAGATTTTTGCGATCATCCAATGAGATAACTTACATGCAAGCCCTTTGTAACATCTAAGGTGAAGTATATGTGATATAAATGTGCATAAATGTAAATCACTCAGTTATGTCTATTTAATGATTGACTGAATACGGGAGGGTCATTCATCAAGAATAAGTGCTTGTTGGGCTGGGGACATAGCTCAGGTGGTAGAGTGCTTACGTCACATGCACGAGGCTCTGGATTCAATCCCCAGCACCACCGCCAACAAAAAGAAATATAGAACAAGTGCTTGTTAAGGATTCCCTCACATGAGCCTGTCACCTGAGTTAAAGCTTCTTCACTTAATTCAGCAAAGATGAATATTGCCATGGTTATCTTCTGTCCATATAAAACTACACTTAGGGGTCTGGTCTGACGCCAAACACTGCCTTGGTACTTCCACAAAAGAATTAAAATCTTATCCTAAAAATATTTGTCATGACTCTAATCAACATTTATCAGTTATCAGCTGCCAGAAAGACACCAAATAAGATCCTATCCTGAAGGTGTCACTATCTTGAACAATTGAAAAATGGAATCCAGAATGCTTGACAACATGCATGAGAAATGGTTGTTTGGGGGATAGTTTACCCAACTGGGCCTTTGGAGGGCATAGTCTCCCCACAAAATCACCCTCATTTCTCAACCAGTTGTAAGTTTAGCTGAAACCACCTTCTGTTTCCATAATTCTCTGGAATGACTCACAGAGCTCACTAAAAGTTGTTACACTCACAGTCGGGGCTTATTACAGGGAAAGGATATGAAATAGGGTCATCTAAGGGATGAGGTGCAGAGGGCAGAGTCCAGGAAGGGAAACACAGAGCTTCCGCTGTCCTCTTGCATGGAATCATGGACACGTGACCCTTCCAGCATCAGTGTGGGATAGTATACCTGAAGTCGTGCGAATCAGGAAGCTCTCCTGAGCCTGGGCTAGCTAGGTCTACTGGGGCCCAACTACATGAGGTCCATGTGCTTACCCTTCAGTCCACAGGCTCTCCCAGAGTCAGGCTCCCAAAGTGAGTCTCCAGCCCCTTCCACAGGAAGCCCCCAGCCCAAATCACACTGTCATACCCTCAGAGGCCAAGCTTCCAGCAGAGGATCACCCCCTCAGGCATGAAATCAAGATTTAGAGATCAGTTCTGGTAGTCGAGGGCAAATGTTGGACCTCTCTTTGGTTAAGGTTAATCCCTCACTACTTCACAATGACTACGTATAATAAAAACAGATTTACTTCATTCCAGATTTTGGTAAGACCCTCAGGGAAAGTAGAAACCATTGGTGAGACTAGAGCAGAACCACATAAAATTGATAGGGTGTACACACAAGTAAATGTATGGACCAAAGTATCCCAAGAAAGGCTACAAACCAGGTCTTTGTACCACCTGCCTTCCCATTTATTGTTAGTTTGTTGAGAGATAACCTATATACCATAAAATTCAGGCATTTAAATTGCATAACTCAATATTTTTACTGAGTAAATATGAGCAATTATAACTTTACCAGTAAATATGGATATTTTACAGATTGGATCTTTTACAAAATTTTACTTTTAATTCAGTTTTGTAAATATTTTACAAAAATATTTCATAGAGCCATGAAATCATCACCATGTCCAATTTTAAATCATTTCTGTTGTCCTAGAAAGATCCTCTGGGCCCATTTTTAATCAATCCCTGTTCCAACCCTAAGAAATCCCTAATCTGCTTCTTAACTCTGTAATTTTTAACTTTTCTGAACATTGCATATAAATGGTATCCTGTAATATGTAGACATTTTCAATGGGCTTGTTGGCATAGTTTTTGACATTTGTTCATGTAGCACAAATTAGTGGCTTAATCCTTTTTTTATTGCTGAGTTGTATTCCATTGTGTGGATACATCATATTTTGTTATTCATTCAGGAGCTGATGGACATTTGGATTTTTGTCACTTCTTCCAATTATGTATAATGGTGCTATTCTGAACAAACATTTAGGGCACATTTTTTTTATTTGTCTTAGCTAGATGTGTAGGAATGTTTTTGTAAACTGTTTAACTTTTTAAGAAATTATCTAGCTGTTTTCCAAAGTAGGTGTTATATTTTAAAATCCCCACCGGCAGAGGTGAGTGCTCCCAGTCCTTCACGTTCTTGCCCACTCTCCTTGCCTCCTGCCTTTCTTATGAGAGCCATCTTGGTGGTGCTATGATTTGAGTGTGTCTCCTTGAAACCATGTGTTGGAAACAGAATCCCTGAGGTCACATGCTGGTGGTATCTGGAGTGGGACCTTAGAAGGTAACTAGGATTAGATGAGGTCATGAGGGTGGAGATACATGATGACATTAATGGTTTTATAAGAGAGAAAGAGAGACCCAAGCTTGTGGGCTTTCTCTGTCTTATCATGTGAAACTCTCTATCATATCATGAAAGCAAGACTGCCCTCACCAGAGGCTGGCACCTTGATACAGGGCTTCCCATGCACCAGAACTGTAGGCTAAATAAACCTCCATTCTTTCTGAGTCATCCAGTCTGTGGTATACACTTATAGCAACAGAAAATGAACTGAAAGAAGTGGGTAAGAAGTGATTTCACACTTTTTTTAAAAACCAGTTTATAACTATACTGGTAAAGTACTGTGGTTATTGAGTAGTGCATCAAAGGAAATGTCAAGTTCAGTAACAGATGCTCCATCTCTGCCTTTACCCTGCAGGAGAGATCTGGCTGCACTTATTCTTGTTTGAAACTTTCATATCTTAAACCTGTTACTTGTAGTTATTTGCTGGAAAATACCAAATGCATTATTATTGCTCTTCACAACTGTCACATCTTTTTATATTTCTGGTGACAAGCACAATGTTCTTTCTTTGTAAAATTGCCCATATTTACTAAAACAAACTGTAGAAAAAGTGGAACGGGTAAGATATAAACAGAAATTGTGGCAGGATGGACATGAATTTGAACATATGCTGTGTTTAGATAAATCGTGGAAAGACTCCACAGTGTAATAAGGAAGGACATTGCCACACTTCACAATGTGATTGATTGGTTGACCTGATGATTAAACTTAAATTTACAACAGAAATAGTCTAGACATGACTGCCTCATTCTCCACTTGCAGAAACCACCATGTGCAACAGATGAAAATGTGGGAAGTGAGAAAAAAAGTGGGAAGAAAAAAAAATACAAAGGGAAGGCAAAAAAGAAAGAAGATTGGAATGTATGATTTATAAATGGCGTCAACAGGCACTTAAATATTTAATCTCATGCAATTTTGTAATGTAAAACACTTCCAACCTGGTGAGTTTTAAGAGCAGAGGGTAAGGTTTTGCAGAAATGGCATTTAAGAGATATAGGTAGCTGTCAGCATCTGTGGACCACTGACTCAGTTTCCTTTTCTGGGCACCATGACACTGCTTTGATGATACTGAGTGTACAAAAAACAGGAGAGTCAACTACTTGTAAATATTACCTCCATTCAGTGCTTTCCCTTGTGTGCTGCTTGTCCACCAGTTTACCTGGCAATATGTGGAGGTGTGTAGGGTTGTCACCACACCTAGTGAGTGAAGCTCTGCATCCACCTGTGCACAGACTAGGCTCCCACAACACAAAGCTGTCTGGTCCAAAGTCCGAAGTTCTGAGGTTGAAGAACACTGCCTTAAGTAAAAGCAAGCTGGTTATGCATAGAAAGTCTACCCAAGTACTAACGAGTTGCTTAAAATTAAAAGACTGCTTGGTGTACAACTTGACCTTTTACTCAAAATACTGGCAGTTTTGCCCACAACTGTGTAGTCCTTGGATCCCCAGGCCAAGGAAAGGTACAGTCTGATACGCTGCCTATATTTTTCTGCATAGTTACATTCCTTTCAGTAACACTTTTAGCTTTAGTTTGCTAATCATGGACAACATCCATGAATTCAGTCTAAATCCATGTTAGGAAGCTTCCTGTTATTTGTCTTTAAGAACTGCAGTAATAGGTGTTACTTCAATAGCCCATTTTGCACTATTCTGAGCTCTGTACCCAGAAAGAATAGAAAATATGAACGCTTGCATGTGCGTGGGTAGTCTCTTCCTGCCAATCTGTACTGCACCATCAAACAATGAATTTACCTTAAAAATGTGAGATCCCATAGGTAGTAAGCAATATTTTAGATAGTTGTTTCAAAATCCTTTCCTTTTGCTTTTTAGATGAATTTGTTTGAAAAAGAACAAATCTTACTTCTCACTGAGTTTTACCTGCTTTATCTCCTCGATTCCTTCAAATTTGAAAAACTATATATAATGACATGTCTTAGAAAGCAAATTGCAGGAAGGAAGAGGACACAAACAAAACTCTGAAAACATAAACTGGAAAACAATTTCCACAAAACTCTCTAAATGGATTCTAAAAACTGTTTGTACTTGGAATGCACATTTCTATTGCACTATATTTTACAACTCAATTCTATAATCATCTTGGACATCTCTACAAAATTTTACATTTTGCACTGATCTCATTTTGCAAATCAGAGAAAAGGCCCTTTTTCCATTATGTGAATTCACCCTTATGATTTCTAGACCTTTACCTGGTCCTCAATTGTGCTGCAATAATCAACCGGTTGGTCAGATTCTGTCATAGTAGATTTGTTTTTAAATCATTTCCAGTTTCCCCACTGGAAATTTCTGGGAAATGGTGTGCACTGTGCCTCAGATTCACCTTTCCCTGAAGAGAGAAAGGAAAGGAAAGGTATTTATGCTCGAATTCTTGTCAGCCTTTGGGTGAGGACTGTCCTGGGAGGATGTGTGGTTGCAAAGAAGATGTGAATGGAGTCGGTTACACTTTTTTTTCTGAAAAAATAATTAAATATTATATCCCTTTTAGTAAAGTGATAAAGCTAAATTAAAGCCATAGTACTATAATTTCCCTCATCAAGACTTGTGCATATGGCAGAGGTGGAGAGGAATGAAACTGCATGTTCCTCATCTTTCTTCTCAGGCAGTAAGCAGAAAAGGATGATTTATTTAAAAAGTAGAGCTCTGTGTCCATCATTATTCATCTACTCTGAGAGTGATGATGGGCACTAGACCCTGGTCATGCTCTACTCTGCTCATTCTCCTTGCTGCTGCTCAGAGCCATGCGGTGGGGTTACTGGTGACCGTGTGGGTGTTTTTCTTAGTGCAGAGCTCCCCTGTATCCACCCTGGCCTCTTCTGCCACTGTTTCCCCATTCAGACATAGCAGCCATGACAGTAGATCATGCCCACAATGTTTTGGGATAGACAAGACCTTGCTGGGCTTATACTTCCTCATCTTATGGGCCCACAGGAGATTCATACATCTTCTGTACCCCTTTCAAGATCATAGACAACGAGATGGTTTGGGAGACTAGTTACTCCATCTTCCTTCCATGATGTACTACAGTCCCTTCCCAATAACTCTCATGCTCCTGTACACTTCAAGGAAACAACAGTGTGGTCACACAGATCCTAAAACCCATGGACACATAGCCTTGGATTTAGATGCAAGGGCTCTCTGGGAACCACCTCTATCTCTGACTCCTTTGGAGCATCTCTCATCTCCTTGGGAAGAAGAAAACTTCTCACTGTGAACACTTCTTCTCAACATTTCTAGTGACTAGTGACTTTGACTCCTGGATAGGGCCATCAATTATAATTAGACCATTCATGCAGTCTCTTGCTATTTTGATCTCAATTAGTGGCTCTCTTTGGAAACTAAAGAAGAATTTTTCAAACTATTCTATGCACACATGTTACTTGGGGATCATGTTAAAACACAGATCCTGACCCATTGAAATCTGTGTTAAGACCTGAGAATCTGCACTTCTAACAAGTTCCCAGGTGATGCTGATGCCGCTTGTTCACAAACCACAGTTTGAGTAGCAAGAATAGCATACTTAGGACCTCTTTAACCAGATTCTGTGTGCCCTAGTTATAAATGCAAAGAGAGAAGGCAGAGGAGGTATCCAAGCAAGGCACATAAGGACATACTTATTTACCATTTGAAATCCTTTTATATGATTTGGAAATTTTTGTCTTTATGTTTTGTTTTGTTTTTTTTTTTACAGAAGTTTAAGCAACACAAAAGCATAAAAATTTTTAATTGCCATACATTTATCTTATTTTTTAGAAAAATATTTATTTCAAAAGATTCTTTTTAAAAAATATATTTAGAATATTTCCATGCTTATTGGAGTAACTTTAAGTAATATTTCCTCTTTCATGTTGTTTTTACAAATATAAGTGAAAAGGACACACACACACACACACACACCCACAATCGTTTCACACTGCTACAAGTGAAACAGTTTGTCTTCCTCACTTAAGATGGTCATGCTTATTTACAAAACAACTGCTTACCTAAAGGAAATTTAAAATGCCTAAAGTTAGACTCTGTAGGTAGTATACTTTGTAGCACATTCATTCTGGATTTCTCCTTGTTAAACACAGAAAGAGTATAATCACATGCATTTAGACTATAGCATGAAAACTCCTGTGGTTGTTCTCTCAAATACAAGCTTCCTCAAAAGATGATTTAACTTAGGAAAATAAGTTAAATTTATTTCCCTGAGGTCCTAGTCCTGGCGGAGTGCTTTGGTCCGCATTCCTGATGTGGGAATTTTTATTCCTAATGTGGCTCACCTAATGCAGGTCTCTTTGATTTGTTCTTCTGCTTCTCTTTCCTTCCTATCCTGAATGGGATGCTCCTGGGGTTAATCGAGGATTCGGTGCTCACAGACTTGAGTCTTGTTTCTTTCCAATTTCTGATTCAGGTTAGCCCCAGGTTCCCTGTACACTCAGCGCCATCTCTGGTCACCAGGTGGAACTGCAAACCAGAAAATTTCCCGAGTCGTTCACCAGCCTTTGGAGGCTCTAAGGTGGTCTGGGCTTTATGCATCTCTGAACATGTGAAGAATCTGGCGATGAACTTGCTGACACACTTGCTGATCTTGAGTAGCCTGCCCCTATCTTTTTTTTTTTTTTAACCTTGCCCTCCACCTTCCAAAATAGGAAAGTTACAGCCATCTAATGTTCTGGAGGCTAGCTGTATATACAATACCAGTTACAGACATGAAACATTTTTCCCCCAAAACAAATCCTGTTATCGGAATGTTTTAGGCATACTCATTTTACAGTGCTTCAGTAAGTACTTAGCTAAATGATTGCCTCAAGTTTTTCCTTAATTTTTTATGAGCTTCAGACTCACCTGCATTTTAATGTTGTCTGACATCTGCCATGTTCTGCTTTCCTCTATATTTTCTTTATATGTTTGCATCTTCCTCCTTCTCCCTTCCTGAACCAAAACTTGTTTGAATAAACCAGGTCTAAAAGTCTAAAAGATAGACATTTAATTTTACTATACGTAGATCAAGCATAAATCAAATTGTATTGTTTGTAAACAATATCTAATATTTTAATAAAATGTTATCCATTTAATCAGAATATTTTTGTTAAACCAAGGCATTTTCATAGACCTATAAATATCATTATTTGTTCTTTTTGTTACAGTTATTTTCTCCCATGGTTTTCTTAAAAGAAGAGAATAAAAATTACAACTACAAAGAAGTAAGATATTAATCTCTGATCTTCTTGCTTAAAAAAGGAAATTACTGCAATATGCAAACCCAAATCAAATCCTGACCCTGAAAAAATCACTGTGTGTTTAAATAAAATGAATACAAGATAGCCTGGGAGAATTTGAAAAATTCAACTATTTTTATCTACTTTAAATGATTAAGTGACATTTGCTGCATAGTTGAACAAAAATGTTGTTCTTCAATTTTACATCTTATAGTAAAAATGTGAAAATTAAGTATTTATTTAAAAATTTGGGTGGTTTCAATATTATTTTCCTTTTATGATTAATCCACCTCCCTAATTAGGTCCAAGCCACTCAAGGAAAAAAAAAAAAGAAGAAGAAGAAGAAAAAAAGATATTTTTCACATCCCTTAGTTCAGTACAGGGTAGAATACATGGCATGTCATTCAAGATTTGCTCTTGATGAAGATCTCAGCAGATTATCTGAGGGACTCTCAACTCATTGAGGTAAAATATGTTATGCTTCTACTTTGAAGGCCAACCACAGTTGTTTTTCCTATATAGAAAAACATGACATGCAAATCCAATTTACCATTTCAAGAATATAAAAGGCAAGACAGCAATAATATTGTTCTCCATTTTGAATTACTTCTATGGAGAGAAATGATGTCATACAGGAATTCCTTAAACTCTGAAATGTAGGATATATTTGTAGTACACCTCCAAACACAGGCTACCCTGTGTGGGCACAAATTAGGCACAAAACAGCAGGCCAAATTTATTCTGTATTCATTTGCAGAATGAATACAGAATAAATTATTTGCATAAGGACAAAAATCCTTGACAGATAGAACCAGCAATAAGGGGTTCATATATAAGATCAGACAGGAACACCAATGACTATGTATACATACATCCATATGATGCTTATATAGATAGATAGATACACACATATGTTATTATATAATAAAACAGTATAAGAAAACTATCATATCAATCTCTTCATCACAGAGTTCAAAAGAGACTAACTCCACAACCTTGATATAGTACTGATGGACATTTTGTTGTTTCATTTAAGGATCTGGTTTCCCAAGTTTCTAAACACTTCATCTTGCCTCATGTCTGGAAAGCACTCCGGGACTTATGTCAAGAGTTAGTAAGATACACCATGTTGTAGCCCTTTTTTATATCATCTAATTTATATAATATTGGTTTGATTTCCAAGAGAAGATGTTACTTACTAATTAATCTAATAAATCTTTCTATTTTGCCATTAAAATACATTTTAATTAAATCATTCAGGATCCTTTAGGTAACTGTGTATTCTAGAAAGTTTGATTCTCTTTTTAGGTAGTAAAGGGAGATATTTCGGTACCAGCAGTACTGTGTTATCCTTCAACCTATATCACAAAGAAGTTTATCTTTTTATATTATTGTTAACTGTTAAAACATTAGCCAATCAGTCTTAGTTTTAGGGTTTAATTTTTCTGTAATTATAAAAAGCAAAGCCAGATCTATGTTAATATAAAATGAAGGGCTAAAATAAAATCATTTTTAAAGAAATAAATTGCTTCTAATTTAAAACAATTTTTATACTTTCCTTATTTTCATTGATTTCCCAGAAATATTATTTGTCAAGAGGAAGATCAATTGTCCAGCTTATGTCTCTAGAATGAGTTCTGCCAGTGTTTGTTAGCATGGCAGTTACTTCCATGTGGTCTGCAGATTTACCTCTAAGGTCACGGTTATAACAGGACTAATGCAATAGTTTAGTTTTATATTAAATGACAGCATAAATTCTAAGTCAACAACATACCAAATCATTAGGAAGCTGTGTTAGGAATGGGAAGAAGTTGCTGTGTTTTCTTAACATAATGAGATAAAGACATAGTTGTCTATTCCAGATGCAGTTTTCTAGGAAATAAAACATTTGCAAGTTTGTGTCCTACACTTTTGGTGGTGACTGGATTAAATCAGGAACTTTAAGAAGTTTTGATTTATAAATCATCTTTGGAAATTGTATTTATATTTAAAAAAAAGACCGTGGTAGAAATTGAGCTAAAGTACATGCCTGCAATTCCAGCAACTCAGGAGTCGAGTTCAAGTAAGGATTGCAAGTTCAAGGCCAGCCTCAGCAACTTAGTGAGACCTGTCTTAAAATAAAAAATAAAAAGGGCTGGGGATGTAGCTCAGTGGTAGAGCACTGCTGTGTTTAATGCCAGTACCAAAAAAAAAAAAAAAAGATTTAGAACTAAAATGTTCAACATAGAGTGAAAGATGATCTCTTTGTGACCAAAAAAATCAGGGATAGTATCTTCAGCATGATGTTCTAAGTATAAATTTCTCTGTATTGGGAGAAGAATGCTTGGAGAAGCACCTTGAATGTTTTTTTTTTTAAATGTAGAGTTCCAGGTGAGTAAGTCCACTCTTAACTTGCTAAGTTGAACTGGAGTCTGCCAGTCAGCTACCACAGGGGGAAACAGAATGATTTGCTAGCACCCAAAATACTATCTATTAATATTGGAATGTCATGAGTTAGACTTTAGATGGATTTTTAAGACTTTATTCTGACTTATTATCTTTGAAGAGAAGTATATTCAATGTTATTTAACTAATAAAGCAAATGTTATTAATAAACATGTTAAAAAGATCAAGAAAGAAGTCTCAAGATGGAAGGTGAAGCATCCTCTGAATGCTCAGGTTACAGTCCACCCCCAGTAAGCAGTGAAACCAAAGAGAACTCTGAAGATGGAGAGGAAGGAGGGAACAGCCCTGTTAATATAAAAATAATTTGATCCATAAAGCTGCTGTCCTGGAAACACTGTGGGGTTTGTGCATGGCTTAAACAAAACCATAGAAAATGATCAATACTCTGAAATGCACATACAAATGATGTATGATTAAAGACAATTTCAAATTTGTACCATTGTTTCTGTTTTTCCTTTTAATCAGTGGCCCCTGAATGGCTGGAGAACTACCTGGACAGGCAGTGAAGCTGGACCCGTTACTCACAGAATTCAACAAGGCAAGTGTCAAATGGATCAGAGTGAAACACACAACCCCCTGATCCAAGTGCTAGAACAACTTGGCTGAAGTACTGTAAACTTTAGTGGAAATACCTTGCCACCTAGGATTCAAATTCTGGAGGCAAAAAGAAAAAAGCAAAGTAGTACAGAAAAACTATAAGGCTTAAACAAAAAATCTCCAATGGCCTAAAATACTATAAGGAAGGTAATAAGGAATTCAGATAAGTTTGAAATAGATTGATGACTTAAACATTGATCATTTAAAATAGTAACAGATTGGTAACCCTACTATTATTTAATGTTGATAAAAATAGAAGAGATTTGATGGCCCTATATAAAAATGGCCTATAGATTAGATCAATTTGTAGAAATAATAAATGCAAGTGGTTTAATCATGTGAAGAAGTATTCAATTTTGTTCACGAGAAAAAAAAAAAACTTCACCAAGAGTTTTTCATTTACTAGCTTGTCACAAAATCAGGAAACAATTAATGAAACTGAAAAAAAATGAGGCACTTTAATGTATCTCTACAGAGAAACTAGCATGGAGAAATTGCAATGGAAAATTTGAAAATGTCCAGCAAAATTTCATAGCATTTATCTTTTAACCAGTAATCCCAGGTTTACAAATATACCTCACATATATACTGACATGACAATTTTAAAAACATAAGAAAAGCTTTTCATTGCAGGAATTATTGGTAAGAGCAACTTAAATGTACATAAGTAGGGAGTTAGTTAAATTATATCACACAGCCACAATGTGTTACTATAAGGCAGTAATAAATGAATGAGTAATATGTATATATCCTACTAGGAACTGATTTCAGCGAAAGTTTTTATTAAAAAAAAGCAAGGCAAAAAGAATGTATAGTATGGTGCACTGTATCTCTTTAATAATGTAATTTAGTGTGGTTTTTTTGTGTGTACTTTTCATATTAACAAAAAATAATATTTTAAAAATTGATATCCATAAATAAAGGAAGTATTAGGAATGAGGATACTAGACACACCTTCAATTTGATTTTTAAATTATGAAAATATTTGATGTAATAAAAAAATCAATTGTGTATACTTTTAATTTTAAGAAATTGTGTGTGTGTGTGTGTTTCTGGGGATCACAAGAGGGCTTTGCTCATGCTGAGCATGTGCTCTGGTCACTAATCCACAACCAACACACTTAAGAAACCTGAAGGAATTGACACAAATGAACCCCACAGGGTATGTTAATTATGATATGTCCACACAG